CTCCCCGCTGAGCCGGGAGCCCGATGTGGGACTCGATCCCAGGACCCTGAGATCATGACCTGAGCCGAAGGCAGACGCTTAACCATCTACAGATAGTTCTTATATATTATATTTCTAGCTTTCTTAAATAATATGTGGAATACTGAGTTAAATATAACTGTTTCTTTATGGTTCAGGTCCATTATCATGAATATCAACTATGCTCCTATGCTATGATTCTGTAACATTCAAATGATAAGAAGACAAATGTGGGGGTAATTTGTTTCCGGGCTGGTTTATAGTTTTTCCCTCCCCACCCCTTTTCTTCTTTCTTTACTAAAGGATTTCCAGAATCCAATTACTTGGCTTCCAAGGTTGCAGTATAATCCCAGGAAGGCACTGATCTTTAGAAAAGGGAGTGATAAGGGGCGCCTGGGTGGCTCAGTCAGTTAAACGGCTGCCTTCGGCTCAGGTCATGATCCCAGGGTCCTGGAATCGAGTCCCGCGTTGGGCTCCCTGCTCAGCGGGGAGTCTGCTTCTTCCTCTCCCTCTGCCTGCCTCTCTGCCTACTTGTACTATCTCTCTATCTCTCTGTCAAATAAATAAACAAATCTTAAAAAAAAAAAAAAGAAAGAAAGAAAAGGGAGTGATGATGCCGAAGCTGGAAGCTGTAGGGAACCCAAGCCCTGAGGCTGCTTACTTACTTAATAACAACAGGTAACCTTTTTTGAGCATTTATGATATACTATATATATGTTATATTTTAGGTTCTTCATTTAATTCTCATAATAAGCCTAGGAGAGGGGTGCCATTGTCATCTCTGCTGAGCCACATATAAGTACTTTATCCAAGGTCACAAAGCCAATAAATGAAGGGTCCAGGATTCAAACTTGGGTAGTTCTCTTTTCAAAGCCCACACTCTGAAATCACTATTCTATTCTATCTCCTTAACTATTTGAAGTAGGATTTTGAAAGAAAGATTTCTGAGAGATTTTTATGTACAAGTGATAAAACTTGAGCCCTAGAAAAGGTAGTAACTTCCCCCCAAAGTCACACAGCTGTTTAGAGGAACAGCTAGACTAGGACCCAGGTCTTGGATTCTTTGTCCCAAGCTCTTACCACTTCATTATGCAAAAGTTCAGTGGGAAGAAAGTTGGGGGACATTTCTGCAAAGTGAGATAGCTCTTAGATAGGACTTAAGACCCTCAACCCCTGCCTTTCTTTGGCCCATTCTAGAGCCACAGGGCCTGAGCCACAAAAACTTCAATGTGGATTTCCTACTAGAACTGCATCTGGGATACTGCTGTTGTGGATGTGATTGGCCATGAGTCACACACCATAGTCAACTGAAGAAAGCTGCCTCTTCTCCCTTAGGAAGGAAAGCAGATTTCTAATTTGAGTTTTACATCATCACTCTCTTCCAGAATGAGGGACCTGACCCTTTCTTCTCTATAACCAGCAGGTTTCTGATAAACACTTTCTCCACAAATGTGGCAGACCCCTCACAGACAGTGAACAGCTGGTGAGAGGTCTGACCCAGCCCTTCCTCAGAGACCTCCCATTTAAAAGTCGGAGTATCTCCCATCCAAGTACTAACCAGGCCCGACCCTGCTTAGCTTCCGACATCAGACGAGATCGGGCGCGTTCAGGGTGGTATGCCGTAGACTAAAAGTCGGAGTATCTCAAGGGAAATGGGCTCTGGTTCCCCAGAGCCTTCAAGTTCAGAGAGAAGAGATCCAGTACCCCATTTCTGGACAGCTCCATAGCTGATACTGCAGACTGCTAATGAGAAGGCTCCTCCATCCTGGAGCCACCACAGTCTACAGCAGTGGGCTTGGGAATGGTTCTTGGCTCTCTGTGTCTCTTCCTGCTGCTTACCTGTGGCTGCTGGGTGGTTAAGGGTCTCTGAGGGCACAGGACAGGGGTCCTGGACAGCAGCTGGTTCATCTTGCTAATAACTAGCTCAGTGATGAGTTGTCTGTCCTCCACCTGGTGTTCACCAATCAGTGGCATACTGCAGTCCATGACCTAGTGGAGGATGTAGCCCAGGTTAGGAAAAGGTCCGGAAACATCAAAGGCTTGGTATAGACTTTCAGAATGAATAGGACTTAAGGCATCAGAGATAGGTTGGGGATGAAACTGGTGTTCTTATCTTGAGCTGGAAGCATGTTCCTTTGCAGAAATAGGAACTTAGTTCCCCCCTCCAGCAAACTTTTGCTTTGGATCTTTCCTCCCAGACTTCACCCAGGCCAGGGCTCAGTAAGACTGAAAGATTCATGGCTGAAGGTAGTGGGGAAAGGGGGAGAGCAAGGAGAGAGCCCAGCTCCAGGGCTTAGAGGTTTGCAGGCAGGGAAAGCAGGAATACATGAAGGTCATTCCCTTAACTCTCTAGTTAGGAGTAGGCAATTTTCATCTCTGAGACTTTTCACCCATGCAGTTTCTATCTCCACACATAGTCTGCCCATTAAACAACTAGATTTCTGCTTTTGCTCATGACCTGGGATGCCTTCCCTTTTCACCACCATTCTGATTCTTCCTATACCTCAAAGTCCAGGTAAATGTTTTTCTCCTTTAGGAAGTGTCCACCTAACCAGGATCATAGATGCTGTAGTCCAACCCTCATTTACAGATGAGAAATCTGAGTCCCACTGAGAGAGGGGGATATGATTAGAACACTATGTGCCAAGTAGTTTATATGGAGTAGATTCTGAAGCCCACTTTGGGCTCCTGACTCTAATCCTTTCCAAATACCACCAACTCCTGGTAAGGAGCCTTTCCTGCTTCCAGGAAGATTGGCAGGAACATGTGTGAAGGATTCATACTGCTACTGACTTTCCCTTTAATATGGGGAAAAGAAGTAAGCAAAGTTGTGTTAGAGGACCAGGCTGAGTGAAGCAACTCCAAGGCTCAGAGAGATGCTAAGAAGAATCCCCTGCATCCAGGAGACCTGAACTCTAGCCTAGGTTGAGACACTGATTCACTCCATGGCCTTGAGCACATGTTCATGGCATTAGGCCTTAGTTTTCTCATCTGCAAAATAAGCAGATTGAACCAAATGATTCCCAAGTTCAGCTTTCTGAGACCAAAAATGGTAAATCACTAGTATTCCCAGAGGAATAGCATTAGGCTAGGACCCAAGGAACCCAAATCTGGCATCTCTTACCCATGGCATGGGTCAGCCTAGCTAATTGGAAACAATAGCTCCCCACTGGTGGAGGTATTTTGCTATGCACATCCATTGTTCGTGTTGTCTGGGAACCGTCCCCTGGCCCAAGAGACTCTAATCTAAATGTAGTTTGGGTTGCCCACATAGTTCTCAAGCTAAGAGCCTGGCCTCTAGCCTTGGGGGTTGTCTCTTACTGAGATACTCTTTGGGCCAGACTTACCTCAAAAATGTAGTCTTTCCCATCTTTGCCATGTACAGCTTTGACAGCACAGATGTCCAGGCCACCAAACATCTCAGAACAGGTGTCCACCCACAGCTTGTACCTGGAAGGGATGGGAAGGTGTTCTGAGGCTGGAGTGTTAGCTCATATCAAGCCTGCTTGCTACTCATGATCTCCTTGGCGCCTCCACTTCTACCATCCCACCCTTGGCCTCCTCCCCTCTCTCTCCCCATCAAGCATATTGCCTTCTCTACAGTGCTCTCTCACTTGCTCTCCAGATTCCACCCATGTTTCCAGGCTCAAAGCAGGTCTCACATACTCCATCTAGGTGGCCTTCCTTGGCTATTCCAGGGCAGAGTAACTGCTCCTTTGTTGGAGCTTCTATATCATGTCCAGTCTTTATCTTCATAATTTAGCATATAACCCAGTCCTGCCTGATCTTGTTACCTGGTTGCTTGGGCCTTTGTGTTCTGTCCTGATTAGAGGCTTCCTTTGGGCAGGGTTCATTTCTTACACCTCTTCAACTATGGAAGTTAGTCTGGGGAGTGGACTCCTACTCTTACTCACCTGTCTGACATGGCGATCTGCTCCAGCATTGCAGAGCCAGTGTTTGTCTTCCAGTTCCCTGAGATCGACGTCCTCCTGCAACAAGGTCCCACCAGGATAGGACAGGCAGTGAGCCACACCAGCAAGAGGGGGGCATGAAACGTTCTGGAATTTTAGCTAACTGCTGCTTTCCCCACCTGCTTCTTGCATAAGTAGCCCAGGCACCTGTCTGCTGAGCTGAGAACCTGGCTGCCCTGCCAACCCCCACCCTCAATGTCCTTCTCTCTATAGTCTGGCCCAGACTGCTGTGGCTCCATGGAGACTTCCCTGATCTTTTCAACCAGATGAGCACTTGCTCTTCTGAACCTCACTTACAGTCCTATATCTACTTTTTACATTAGTTATTTGACCTAAACCTTAGGTCCACAAGTCTAAACCACTTGCAGCCTACCCATTTAGTATCTGGGCTGACTTGGCATATACAAACTGAATTCTATTGATCCTGGGAACACTCTCAGGATTCTTGTGAATATCTCCCCATGGCTTTCTTACTAGCTCATTTATTTGTTCATTCAACAGTTAATTTCTGAGAGCCTACAGTATTAACAATGTGACTCTGGACAAGTCAGTTAACTTTTTCAGGCTTAAGTTGCCTTGACCATCAAATGCTGCTGATGGAATCAAGTCACCAACCTCTTCTCTGCTGTGCCCTCTGCACCCTCTCCATCCATGAGCAGGTGTTAGAGCCAACTAGTCTTAGACTAAATAGGAGGTGGATGACCTGGTTTCTGATTCTGGATTTGCTCTTGACTGGCTGGGTGACCATGGGTGAATCACTTCACCTCTCTGAGCCTCTTATCCCTGTGCAAACACAGGGTTGTCATGAGGATCAATTGATACAGTTTTAAATGAATTGTAAAACACCAAAAATAGGCCTTCTTAATTATTAGTCTTCACTCAGACACAGTCAAGAGGAAGAGGATGGTCTAGCGGACAGAAAAGCCCTGTTCACACTACTGACAGAGTCATTCATGTGCTGTCCTTGTCACTTGCTACCATTTGGAGACTGGATGCATGTAGTAGTCTCCACTCAGCAGTTCCCAGGAGTACCTTCCCCAGAGGTCTGATCTCAGACACTGAGCAACCTAGACATACAGCTAGTTTTCAGAGCCCTGAGGCAGACTAGTGAGTCAACTGACGTAATAACAACCCCTCACTCTCGTACAGTACTGACTGCTTGCCAAGATTCTTACTCCACAAACCCCTCACCAGAGCCTCAGTGCAAATCCCTGTTGTGAGCAGGCTGACATCCTTGCCCCAACTTTACAGACAAGGAGATTAAGACTCAGAAAGGTTAAATGACTTGCCCAAAGTTGTGTATCCAGTCAAATTAGACATAAGATAAAAAAAAAGCCCAAGACTCTTCGTTCCCTCATTGTGCTGTACTTCCCCTATACCCCACTACCTAGTTCAGAAACAAACAACTAACAGATGAGTGACTTGCAAAATCTGAGTAGAGACACAAAGATAGATCATAATAAAAATAACACTGTCTTCCTAACACTGGTGGTTTATGCGTGTGTCCCTGTGACTAGGTTGGGCTCTTCAAGGGAGGGGACAGAGAGTCACTCACTTCCAGGTCCCCAGCTCAGGGCCATGGTATATAATAGGGTCTTGGAAACTTTGAGTGAGTAATAATAATGTCCTTCACACTTTACACCTTTCTTTAACAATGAGATGCAGGGCATAGATCCATATAGGCCACTAGTGCATGGGGGAGCATCAGGGGCACCCAGAAGCCACTCAGTAATAGCTCAACTACCTCTCAGGACTTATAGGTCACCTGACCTCCACAGAGGGATGCACATTATTACCTACTGAGAGTAGAGCAGGAACAACACCCTCTGTCTACCAAATATGGCTGTCTTTGGATCTCCAGAGTGAGAGCTAAGGGGGTAGGGAAGACTCTCAAACCTTATCTTGGCTATTATCAGGTCAATTCCTTCTGAAAGCAAGGGGATAGCTAAAAGCTTCGGGAAGAGGAGCCAATAGGACATGAATATTCCCCTAAATAACTATCCCTTGCAAATTAAAAAGAAAGTAAATGTTTTCTAAAGCTTCTTTGGTTGCCCACCCTTCATCAGTATTAGAGGATTCTCTTTTCTTATGCTTCTTTGAAATTGCTTGTAGAAATCCTAACCTTTAAAAATGAGAGTTCTTTTAAGAATCAAGACACTCTTGCTCTACTGTCATAAACATTTTGTGTTTGTTTAGGGAATTTTATTTTTTATTTTTATTTAGGGGATTTTAAAAGTAAAGGATAGGAAATCTGCTTTCCTAGGTGCCTACACATACTGATTTTTCTGCTCCTTTTAGCTTCTTTTTATAATGGTCTTTTAAATTATCTTGTCTTACATTGTGCACAATTTTAAAACAATCTTAAATTCCTTTTTGAAGCAGCGAGACTTTAAATAAAAAACTATAAACTTTTAAAAAGTAGTAATCTAGTAAAAAAGTAAAAAAGATTCTGTGTTTTGGTTCTGTACAAGGGCTCTCCCCTGAATACTTATTGGGTGCTTACTCTGTGCCTGCAGCTGCACAAGCTGGTGGAGCTGCAGAGATGATTTCACTGTTCCTGCCCAGGGAGCTCAGAGGAGAGTGACAGAAATTCCTGTTTGTGCAGCGGGCTAAACTAGAGGGGTGTACAGGGTTATGACAAGGGAGGGGGGCAGGGCTCCTAACTAATTCCAGGGGTGGGGAGTACAAACACTGAAGGGGGAGACAGAAGAACAATAGAAATGAATGGGCAAGGGAAAGGGAAGCTGCTCAGCCTCAAAGTCTGCTCAAGTGCCAAGCGGCCAAGACCAAATTCAGATATCAGAATGTTCTTGTTTATAAAAGAAATACTACCCTATAGGTTTTAAAAAGTGAGAGGCTCATATTTCCAAAGTTGGCATTGTAAGCTATTTGCATTCTTAGGTATATTATAGAAGACTGGGTCATCCTGAAATCTTTTCTTTCTCTAAAGTTGAATGGAGGAAACTTTTAACTTTCCATTCTGGCAGATGGACACAGTCATGTGGAGAAGCCACCTATTCTCATAACCACTAGGTTTTTAATGCTCTGGAGTGTTTTCAGGGCTATATATTTTCATTAGGAGTTTCTTAACCTTTTCTGAATTCTGGCAGCCTGGTGAAGCCTATGGATTCCTTTCAAGGTATAAAAATACATAAGATGTGTACGTGTATAAAATAAAGTGCATAAGATATCAAAGAAACCCAATTTTTGAAATAATTATCAAAATAGTTATCAAACTATTAAACAAATCTGTGATTTAGTAAAAAATACATTTCTTTGTAAATAACGAAAGTATTTACAAGTACAAATGCAGTGACAGGTCTAATAACTACCATGATTCTTGAGTAGTGATCAAAATAATTGGTATTTAGAGATATCGGTCATAACTGCAGTGTGAATCAAAAATCTCTGTGATTACCTTTAGTAACAAAGTCACATGTGTTGTTGTGACTACTGTAGCCTGTTGTCATGGTTTATGACTGAGGAGATGGCAAATTTCACTTAGAGGCTAGTGAAAGTAAATATTAATTTTATTTCTCATCTTAGTTCTCCTCTGACTTGAAAGGAACTCAGGCTGGGAGTCCCTGACTTGAATAGCACCCTCTTTCTGGCCCCTGCCTTTTGGGCCAGATGAGGTTAAACTGAGAGTTGGTTGCTACCTGGAGGCTCAGATTTTCCACTGGGCTGAGGAGAAAGTGAAGAGTATCTGCTGGTACCCCAGCCCCACTTACATATAAGCCTTGTAGTTGTTGCCTATCTTCTGGACCCGGATATCATACTTGGCGTCAATAAAAGGCTCTGCTGTGGCATATGTCTGGGTGAGGGCCACCACACTAGCAATGTCCTGGAAGTCGTAATGGTTTTCCACTTTGACCTAATGTTGGAGCAAGGCAGAGAGGGAGAAAAGGAGACATACAAATACATATACTGAGAGTCACAAGAGCTCTGAGCCTCTAAACCCATCGGGATGTTATCCATCCAGTTGTAAACCTGGATGCCACATCTCCCTAGGACACCCATTGTCTCTAGCTTCCCCTCCTAGAGCTCAGGAGCCTCACTTCCTACAAAGGGCCCAAGGGCCCAAGCAAGTGGCCTGTGCTCTGCTTGTTGGAAGAAGTCTGTTTGGGTAACACTCATGACTTCAGAGGGGCCAAATCGTCTCCTTGGAAAGACTTCATGGGGAAAGGAGGCAGAACAGTTCATAACCAGGCTCTTTAAAAAGTGTCCTTCTTGGCCTCAACCCCAAAACACAGCAAACCCTTACCATGGCCTTACCTTGCCCATGCCTGAGTGAGCATGGCCAATCTTCACCACCACAGGGAATGTGGGCAGTGTCAGCTGAAAGCAGAGGAGAAATGAATGAACTGGTCAGAGTGTGCCTCACTCTCTGTGGAATCTTGCAAATATTTTTCTTGGTAACACCCTTGGAAGGGTCCTTTAAAGAACTAGCCCAACCTACTTGCTTTACAGATTAAAAAACTGAGGCCCATAGAGTGACAGTGACTTGCCTAAGGTCACAGCATACTAGTAGTAGAACTGTAAGAACCCTGCTCTACCACTCAGTACTCTCTACATCTTTAAAATTCATTGTTTCAACTTTCTCTGCATTATACAAACCCTGGGCAGGACCAGTCCTTAGCCAGAGAAAAAGAAAAAGAAAGAAAGAAGAAAGAAAGAAAGAAAGAAAGAAAGAAAGAAAGAAAGAAAGAAAGAAAGAAAGAAAGAAAGAAAGAAAGAAAGAAAGAAAGAAAGAAAAAGAAAAGAGGGAGAGAGAGGGAGAGAGGGAGGGAGGGAGGAATGAAGGAACGAAGGAAGGAAGGAAAGAAGGAAGAACATCTTTGAAAGGGTGAATTTTGTTGTATGTAAATTGTATCTTAGTAAACCTGAATTTAAAAAGGAATGTATCTTTGGAATCTTAATGTCCCTTTTGTCATGTACCTTTTAGTACCCTCCCCTTCCCCTTCAAATGTCCAGCTTCTTATACTGAACCTGGCTTTTCTCCCTCCCTTTGACAATGTCATCAGAGCTCATCAACACCCCAAACTCACCATCAAACACAGCTTAGGATGCTAAGGCCTCTTTCTGCCCAGTTTGAGGTTTGGAAGAGAGCTAACTTAAGAATTCAACATGTTTATCTAATTTGAAAGACATCCTTAAAAGTGTAAACTCTATCTTGAGGTAGCCATATTTTAACAGAGGGACAATAGAAACTTAAAAGGAGAACTACCCTCCAAAGGCAGGATTTCAAGTGGTTACAAAGTGGCGATGGAGGAAGTACTATGGTAGAGTGGAAGGAGCACTACACCATATGTCAGAAGACTTGCATTCTAGTCCTCTCTGCCATTAGCTTTCTGAAAGTCACTTTACCTCACTGAGCCTTTGTCTTCACATTTGCCAAATGAAGGGACTGGACTGGATGCCTTTCAAGGTCCGCCCAATAATAAATACATCAAGCTCTATCTTGGTTCGGGTGTTAAATGAAGAATCAACTTGGTCACCAAATCTCATCTTTCTCAATCAGACTCAGCTCTCTTTCGATTTCCTTCTTTTCAAACATCACTACCACATCAAAATAAGAAGATATCTTTCGGAAAAATTAAAGTTAACTCTGATAAAAATTCAGATTCCCATGGGAGTACCTGACCTGAGGATTTCAGTATTCCTGGCTGAGGCCAGTTGAAGCTGGGGCAAAGAGCTTCAAAGGGCCTTGGAAATATGTAGTTCAAGCCTGGAGAAGAAAGTGAGCCCAGAGAGGCAAAGGTTGCAAAGCTACCTTGTGACAGAATCAGAACCCAGCCTTCCACCTTCTAGCCCAGCACTGTGTGGAAATATCCTATAATAATTTCATGGGTCCCTTTCTATTTGGAGACTTGGAGCACTATGCTCTGTCAAACAGAGCAGACAAGGCTCTGGTTGCAGTGACCCCATGTGCCTTGCTTCTTTGTTTTCTAAGCTGTTTCACCTTCCATGAGAAGACATAGTCTCTCCAGTGAATAATGACTTGAGATAGGAACCAGTGTAGCCTAGGATCTGGAGAGGGCTTTGAAGTCCCAGGTTTGCCCTAAGTGATGGGGTATCCTGTGCTTTGAGCCCCCACCAAGAGAGCTCTCCTCAGCCATCTGCAGAGTCTGAGGCTCTGGATATGGGAAAGGGTTTCTAAAGCACAGACTGCTTTCTCTGACATCTCTCCCCACCCCCCAGCCAACAGAGCCAAGACACACACACACACCCCAACTTTCTCTGTCCTATTCCATTACTGTTTGCTGTTGCTTTGGAGCCTCATAAATAGGGCATTGAAAACACTTCCTGCAGCTGAAAGAAGCCCTGAGTAGCTTGTCTCATTCCCAGTGTGCAGCTCAGCAAGGGGTCCGTCCTCTCTGTCACTGTCTCTTTTGCCTGTTGTAATTCCGTCTGCCTCTCTCTGACTCTGCCTGTCTCACTTTCTGTTTGTGCCTCTCCTCACTCTTGTTCCTTCAGTGTGAATCACAGCCCATCGTCTTTCTGCCCTCATGCATTTGTCTTTGTTGTGCTTTCTGTCTTTCTGCCTTGACACCATCCTCTTTCCCCGGGCTTTCCATCTACTTCTGTAAGGCTTAATTGCTTGGGCAGGGAAACAGAGGCTAGCGGCCTCTCTCCTGGCTTCCCTCTTCCTTTTACCGAGCCTGCCAGTCAGGAGGGCTGCGGGTCCTGCAGCCGTGGGTGGCCTACAGCCAAAGGAGGGAGGAGCCCATCCGGGCGGGATTGGCCCTAAGTCCACCTCAAAAAGCCTGGGGCGAGGGGCGCAACGCGTTCTGGATGAGCCCTGGAGGGCCGGTTTGGTCAGACAGTCCCCGCAGGCTCAGTCGGGGCTTTGCAGTGTCATGCCCCGGAGCCCCCGGACGGCGCCGAGCTGGGCGCTGTTGCTGCGGCTGCTGGCACTGCTGCGGCCGCCGGGGATGGCTGAGGCGTGCAGCTGCGCCCCTGCGCACCCCCAGCAGCACGTCTGCCACTCGGCGCTTGGTGAGTCCGGAGGCCCGACAGGTCCACAGCAGGGGGTGGTTGTGTGGGTTCGGTATGGGGCCGAGCTGTAGACCTGGAGTCTGGAGGGAAAGGGAGGAGATCAAATACTGCACCAGTTGCCTCCCACTGGGGCAGATGGGTCGGGCAGGGCCGGCGCCATAGCAACCTTGCAAGCACAGAGCCTGGTGGACTTGCAAGGAAATGAAACACCGTGTAAGGGAACCCATAGCGACCCCCTCTCCCCTGCCTACTGCAATTATGGACTTGAATGACAAGTCACGGGAGCTATCCAGTGATTATTCTGAACTACTGGATGCAGGGAGGGGGAGCTAGGGGCCAGGGGACTGGGCTTTCATTATAAACATCCCACTGTGTCCGAGCCTATAACTGATGTTTACTCCATGCACCACCCCCACACAACACACTTTTTGCCCTTTCTCTTTCCTCTGCCTGAAATGCCCTTCCCCCATACTCTTAAATTTCTGGCAGACTCTTATTCATCCTTCAACGTCTTACTCAGGTATCTCTTCTTCTATGAAGACTTCCTGACTTCTTGGTGCTACCACGATATCTCTAACAAAAATTTTTGTACTCCCAGTATGCTGTGCTGTTATTCTTTGTAAGTGTATTCTCTACTGGACCAAGAGTTCTGTAGGATGGGAGACCCTGTCTTAATCATGCTTGTGGACCTAGTACCTAGTGTTGGGCCAGGCACATAGAAAGAACTTTATAACCAGTTTTTGATTAATGCCCAAATGGCAAGAGACAAACTACTTCTGTACAGGGTCAGAACATATTTATTAATTCAATAAACATTTACCAATATCAGCTCTGGGTAGGCTCTCCTGAAGCCTCAGCTATATAGGTAGAGGACCGCAAAACTTCAAGGGGCTCCTCCTCCCTCCTCTACCCTGATGTCCACCTTCAGCCTACTGCAGTCTGGGCTATGGAGAATTAGACTCTCAAAACCAGCAGGTAAAGTATAGAGAGATTATAGGACCCAGTTGGCCTGAGGAGTTTGGAACTTCTAACAATTGCAGAGGAGGAGTTTCCAGGACCCCACTTTTACACACATGGCCCCCCCCACCACAATCCAACAAGACCTAAACCCAGAATTCCCCTATAAAATTCTCCAGGGGCCCAGGTCATCCAGATCCCAGATGGACTGCTTCCACAGGTTGTTAAAGGTCCCCTCTTTTCTCTTCTTATGCAGCCATTCGGGCCAAAATCTCCAGTGAGAAGGTAGTTCCTGCCAGTGCAGACCCTGCTGACACTCAAAAAATGATCCGGTATGAAATCAAACAGATAAAGGTACATGGGGATAGGACAGGGCATTAACCCCCTTGGGCTGTTGGGAGGAGTGGGGTCTGTGTACTGGGAGCGGGGCTGGTAGGCAGGTGACCCGGCTCATTGATCCTGGGGTATTTATGCTGAAGTGGAAGTGGATGACATGTTGGGAGCAGGGCCCACAGGCCCTCAGTGTCCATCCAGTCCTACGGCTGCCTGTGTGTGGGGCTACTAGAAGTATTCTCACTGGAATAAACCAAGGTTTAGATTTTTTTAAAGAGAGAAATGACCCAGTTGGGCCATCTGTGTGTACCAAATCCTGAACTAGACTTTTGCTTAGTTTTTTTTAGATTGAGAAATGAGTTTTTCCTGTTAAGATATAAAGTATACTCACTGACCCAACACTGCTTTTTTTGTAATTGCCTTTCAGATGTTTAAAGGGTTTGAGAAAGTCAAGGATGTTCAGTATATCTATACACCTTTTGATTCCTCCCTCTGTGGTGTGAAACTAGAAGCTAACAGCCAGAAGCAATATCTCTTGACTGGTAAGTTAAAGACCAACAAGCAACCCTAACAGTCTCTGTCCTAAGGAAGGCAGTCAAGAAGGAGCCAGGGCTGTCCTTGGGCAGCAAACTGAGCTAGGTGGCATTTTCTCAGGCAGAAAACAGAGCTGTGTTACTAAGAGCCAGCCTCTGAGTTGGGAGGAGCCGTGGTAACCTTCCTTTCAGTGCAAGAGTCTTCATTACAGTGATCTTGGCCACTGCTTCACTACTTTAAGGACAGGCTGCTCTCCCAGCCTAGGGCAGCTGGTTCCATTTTTAAACAGTTTTAATTGATATAAGTTTGATATCTTGAGCCAAAAATCTGCCTCTCTGAAACTGCCCTTTGTGGGTTCAGTTCTGTCCTCTGCCCATGATGATCCTTCAGAGGCTCCAGGACCATAAATACATACACTCTAGCTCCAGGCCTGATGGCCATGGTTCCCAGACCCTTTCCTATCCTGGCCACCTTCTCAAATGGGATATAGCTTGTCCCTGCCCCTCCCCTAGCACAGGCCCCTAAACTGGACACTGCACTACGGGTGATGTCTTGGTTTCACAGAGTAAATGAGGATTGTGCATGTGCAACCTTACCCCCCAGCACACGTATTATAGTTACTATAGTCTACAATGGCATTAACTTTAGATAGCTACATTGGGTCATGATCTTGGCTCATAGTGAGCCTCTGTGGCTAAATCACATCACAGGTCATATTCTGGGGGTGCAGTAAAGCACAAGCCCTAACAGGAGCCTTCAGTCTAACAAGTCTCTATGAACTTGGGCCCAGGCAGTTCTCCATACTCAATTGGTTGGGACAGGACAGTTAAGAAACCACACAAGATTATGACTCTGTAAGTGAATGAATGCAATACTAAATTATTTAGTTCAGGGAAAAGAGGTATTTGTGTGATTGTAAACAATTAGGGAAGTTTCACTGTGTAAGTGGGAACTACACTGCCCCTAAAGGAAGAAAAATATTTGGAAAGAAGGCAAGGAAAAGAAAAACACAGCAGGTGGGGAGAATAGGAGGAATTTCTACTATCTGTCCATCCATTCAGCAATAATGACTACCCACTTGCTCCCAGGCATTGGGCAGGAGGGTGGAGACTCAGTGACAAGCCACAGTCCTCAAAGAGCTCACAGTCCAAGCTTGGCTCTTGAGAAGTCATAGCCATTAGAAGCCATACTGGTAGGGGCTCCCCAAATCTAAGGATGTGGAATTGTGTTGATCTGGGAGCCTCTGGATAGGAGAGACAGAGGCAGGGCACACCACTGAGGCTTCCAGGTCCCAGGATTAGCACGCAAGGCCACCTCATTCCCTCTGTGTACCTAGCCCTCTGCCAGGCACTGTGGTGCATCGGGGGAGGAGGAGACGTGTTCTCTGCCCTCAAAAATGTCAAGTCTAACTGAGGGTGGGGATAAACAACAAATACAAGTCTACTGAGAAGTCATCAGTGGTGCCCAGGCTTTTCAGGAGAAGGCACAAGGTCTTTTGTCTAATGTTGAAAGCCCTTGTGACCAGAACACTGCCGACCTCTCCAGCTTTGTCTCCGGCCATGTGTGAGTGACAGCTCCCAGCTCCTCATTTCCCCCAGAGCTAAACTAAACTACTTGCAGTTGCAGAAGGTGTTCTGCTGCGCTGCGCCCCTCCACCTTGCACAGGGTAGTCTCAATGTCCAGAAGTCCTTTCCCTCATTTGTCTGGCAGGAGAACTCCTACCCACCCCTTCAAGGCCCAATACAAGCATCATCTCCTCTGAGACACCTTCCTTGCCGCCCACCCCTTCCACAGATGGAGATAATTGTGCTTTGTTCATTGTTATACTGCATCTTGCATATAATCACACAACAGTATAATTTTTGCCTACTTATCTATCTGCCCTCCTGGTTATTAAGCTCCTTGGGGAAGAGATTCTGTCATATTTATTTCTGTATTTCTGGTACCAAGTCATAGTAAGTAGTTGCTCAGTGAGTAATTGAGTGACTGAGGTTCTAAGAGAGGTGTGGGCTAGGGTGGTCAGAGATGGTTTTGAGGACACTGTGGTACTGAAAATGGTCTTTGGAAGCTAGGAAAGAGTCTGATAAGTAAAGAGGGGGAACTTTCCTATGGGGAAGGGGAGAGACTCACCAAGACAGGTATCAACGGGGCAGGAGACGAGGCTGTGTAGATATTGGGAAGGGTTAGAAAGAGGAAGGGACCTATTATTTATGGAACCTTCCGTGGGCCCAAGCTGTGCTGGGAACTTTACAGACGTTCTCTCATTTAATCCTGACAACTTACTACTTTCATCTTTGAGCAGAGAAGTTATGTGACTTTCTTAAGGTCATACGGCTGTAAATGAGAGAAAAGAAGGGGGTTATACCAACAGTCTGCCTTTAAAGCCCATGTTTTTCTCTCTACACCACACTAAAGGAAAAGGTCTTCATCCCACAACTCTCTCTCATACAAACATAATCTGTTAATATATTTGATATAAAAATTATAGAGGCTTTTCTGGTTCTTTCATTGAGCCCCATGTCACCACTGCCACCAAGAAGTCATTGAAGAAACTGCAATTCTGGGCTCTTTGAGGACCTGGGCTCTTGGAGCTCCATGAGCATATTCCTCATGCTAGGTCTTCCTCCATTCCCCTTGAAGGTCAGATCCTCAGTGATGGAAAAGTCTTCATCCATCTGTGCAACTACATCGAACCTTGGGAGAACCTGTCCTTTTTGCAGAGAGAAAGTCTGAATCACCACTACCATCTGAACTGTGGCTGCCAAGTAAGGGAATATCCATTTGCAAGGTCTTTTGGGGGTGGGGGAAGGGTCTTGAGCCTTGTAGCCTTACTCTTCATGTATTCCTTCCTTTGTGCATACATTTATTCACTTATTGTACTATATTTGAAATCTGCCATGGATCAGGCACTGTATGAAGTTGGGGATGGGAAAGCAAGATGGTCCATAGTCCATGATCCCAAGATGGTCTATGTAAGTCCATACTTACATTTTGGCTGGGAAGGTGGCCATCATTTAAAGAATAAGATAATATAGCTACCATTTAAAGAGAGTCTACTTTTTGCCAGACCCTGTAATGGTGTATTTATTTAAAATATTTAATTTAGTCTTTATAACAAATTTATGAAGAGTTAAGATTTCCATTTTAAGGTGAAGAAATTCATGCTGTAGGAAGTGAAGTGATTTGCTAAAGGTCAGTGGTGGACTAAGGACCTCAGGCCTGTCTGACTCCAGAGATATCATTTGAGAGGCAATACTATATGATAGGAGATAGGGGAAAGGGAACTCAGGAGGAAGTCTGGGGACCAGGAAAGGCTTCAGGAGTCAGGGGCATTTGTGCTGGGTTGTAAGGATATGTAGGAGTCTGAAAGGCAATAATGGAAAAAGGACACCCTACTCACGTTGATGTTGTGTGGCTATGACTCTAGATTACCACCTGCTATGCAGTTCCCTGTACCATCTCAACCCCCAACGAGTGCCTCTGGACAGACTGGCTGTTGGAACGGAAGCTCTATGGGTACCAGGCCCAGCATTATGTCTGCATGAAGCATGTTGATGGCACCTGCAGCTGGTACCAGGGCCGCCTGCCCCTCAGGAAGGAGTTTGTTGACATCATCCAGCCCTAGTAGGGGCCAGTGACCATCACATTCTTTCAAGCATCGTGAAGCCCAAGCCAGTTCTCCTTCCCTGTGGAGCTCTGGCTGTCACCACCCGCCTCATCACTGCCAGTCAGTGGAAAGTACCAAGTGGATGGTCTGGCTAGTGTTAGGATAGGGATGGGGCATGTTATAGCTTGTGTCCAAATGCCAGCTCAACACCTGTCAAGGGCCAGGGAAAGTAACATGACTTTTCTAGCCAGCCTTCAGCCCATCTCCCCTGCCTCCCAAACCCTTTTAGTCTAGCTGAAACCTGTTATTGAAAGTTTTGATTTTGGCTTAGTCTGTTTTCTAAAGCCAGAACTATTCCTTTTTCTCCCCAGGAGAGTGTGTTTTCTCTTACCTTAACTGATCTGATAGGGGAGAAAGGGTGATTATTACACATATGAGATACTATAGCCTTATGATGTACAATACCAGAAGGTGGGTTCACAGAATCAGAAACAAGCTGATTTGGAGGAATGAAAAGAACAACCCACTATGGCTGTATGCCCTTTACTCATGTCCCAACTCATCCTAATCCTCTCATATACTTTCATCTGTTTGGGTAGACACTTGGGGAATACAGAGTCACTCAATGTGAGACCTGCAATGACTTAACCTCCCTCCACATTCTATAATCCCCTATATACCATTCCTGGCAGAGGTTCTGGCCCAGTTAACATACCTCTTTGGACAAGAATAGACTTAGGTATTGTCTCTCCAGGTTAACTATTCTTAATGCCCTCAACTGATGTCCATAAAGCTTCTCCTCTGTTTCTTTTAGAAAGTCATTCTCTACTAGATTACTGTCTTTATTCCTAATTCAGAAATTTTTTTTAAGCCAAAAAAGCCTTTCTCTTGTAGAGATGAAATTCCCCTTTAGCTTTTGACACCTCAGAGAGAGGACAATTGGGGGCAGAAGATGGTAGATGGGGAACAAATTTTGGAACTGTTACAACTGTTTTCATTGGTTAGCCCTGCTAGACTTTATGGCAGGAAAAAAGCCAGCTTTGTTCCCTGTCTGCCCTAAAGTTCAGTCCCCTCATCACTGTGTGTTAGACTCCCTGAGAATTCCAAGCACAGACCCCTTAGTGTTCCTTAGATTCTGCAAGGCTTCCTGGCTTGCCCTGAAAGGGAAAGCCCTTATGTTCATCTCAAGGATTTATAAGGATGAGGGCTTAAAGTTCCAGAGCCTCTCCCTGGCAAAGATGAAGGAGGTAGTTCTTTTCAAGTCCCAAGGTTACTATTCATCTTTTTTGTGTGGTTTGCTAATAAGCAGGGCCATGCCTTATATGCCAAATGAAAGTTCTTGATTCACAGAAATGGTTCAAATGGAGATCCCTTTTGGAGTAGGGAGTGGGAGGGGGAACAAACATGATCTCTGTCCCACAGTACAACACTGGAATGCTATGGCAGAGAGTCTCCATTGGTGGATTAAGCAGGATCACCAACTGACCAAGCAGGCCTGGGGCAGAGGATGTAGGGTCAGAGAGGAAGAAGGGAATTGAGCTAGACGTTGTCATAAAGGAAAAACATTAGCTGTAGCCTCTGCACCAACCAACCATGCCATCTCTCTGCTCCTTCTGACATCCTAGCATGGCCTCAGAGAAGGCATAGTGTTAACCCAGTCTTACCGCAATCTTGAGGAAACCAAAGGAATGGAAGGGGCTGGTGAATAATTATAGGAACAACACCTTAGTCTGAGGAGCGCTTCACACTCTTCCAGAAGGCTATTACTTAATCTCACTTACATTTTATAAGTACCATATTAGATATCCTGGTCAGGAATAATTATGCCCATTTAAATTTCCTATTGAAAAACTCACTCACTGGGCATCTAACTAGTCCAGTGACATGTGGCAGGGCCAGGGCTAGAACCCAAAACAGTAGGATCTTCTGACTGTTGATCCATAGATTTGTTACTTTCTCAACTTGATAAAATGCCCTTGTTTCTGCTCTTCCCTATTTGGTCAGCAGACTTTGTAGACAAGGGGTTATCAATTAAAATTCAGCTGCTCTAGCCCCACAAAGCAGGTCCACAGTTCAATCCCAACAGAGTCTCTGGGGTTGAAATGCTGAGGCCCTCTTTAGGGCTCCATAATCACCATGTGGCTCAGAATGTAAACAGCAGAGGAACTAAAGTCCCCACTCGATCACCTACCATCTCTTTATGGTTGGGGTAGTATGTCTGCTCAATGAGTGGGAACTTTTCTCCTCCCAATGTCTTGTAGATGGCCACCAGCTGGGCAAACTGCAAAAGAGAAGTGAATGTTTCAGCTTATCTAGACACTGCAACAGACAGACAAACATCAGTCTATCAAACAAATATTTATTGAGCATTTGCTCTGTTGGGGACTTTGTACAAAACACCAAGGATATAAAAGAGGTGTACAATTCTTATTTTTAAAGAACGCATGTGTTAGTTGGGGAAGGGAGAGCGAAGGCACTAACATTCATTCAGTACCTATACAATTTTAATGATATTTCATTCATTCCTCATATCAAATTGATAAACTAGGTATTTTATCATCTTTATTTTACACATGAGGCTCAGAGACAGTAGAAAAGGTGCCTGAAGTCACAGACCTGCAAAGAGGTGAAGCTGGGATTGAAATTTGGATCTCTAACCTTAAACACTTGTATCTCTAGAGATGACAATTGATAAAGCTAGATAGGTAACATGGGGACAAGTCTTGAAAGTTCAAATGCTAAGAAAGGAATGGTAACTGTTTTCTGCAGGCAGTATGGAGTCATAAGAATTTGAGCAGGGGTGGGGCGCCTGGGTGGCTCAGTTGGTTGGGCTACTGCCTTCGGCTCAGGTCATGATCCTGGAATCCCAGGATCGAGTCCCGCATCGGGCTCCCTGCTCGGCGGGGAGTCTGCTTCTCCCTCTGACCCTCCTCCCTCTCATGTACTCTCTCTCTCTCACTCTCTCAAATAAATAAATAAAATCTTAAGAAAAAAAAAAAGAATTTGAGCAGGGGTCATGAATAAAGCTGTTCTTTAGGAAGATTTTGATGCTCATGTTATGCAGGATAGACAGACCTAGTCTCTCTAGGACTTACTACTCATCTAAGAACTGAAATCACTAGATCCTTCACCTAGGAGAATCCAGAACAACTCTATGAAGAAGAGGTAAGAGGTGAGGTACACATACTTACAGTGTGAGGGTTGAAAAGTGTTTGGCAAACATCTAGCACCCCCTGGAGTCCCCTGCCCCCACATTTTATAAGTGAAGAAACTGAAGCCCAGAGGGATCACTTGCCCAAGGTCGTATCATAGTTGAGCTGGATTCATAGCCAGGCCCCTTTATTTCCAATCTATAACTCTTCCTGCTCCTTCACATGGCTGCCTTTCAGACTCTGCAGAGACCATGCTCTTCCCGTAGGAAACACACAGGACTTTTCTGCTCAATCCATTCAAACACACACCCACCCACACACCTATCTCCAGTGCACTGGCAACAGGGGTAATCCAGCATCTTCCCTCTAGTGCTACTTAGGTTAGTTTACACTCTAAATCACTGATATCTGGAACTGCTAGAAGGAAAAGTTGCCAGGTCAATTGCCTTCTATTTATCAGAGAAAGGAAAGCTAACATTTTTCAAAAGCTCAGGTCCTATTCTCTATAAGAGATGTTGGTAGATGAGACAATGGGACAGGGAGGTATGCGGGGAGGAGTAGAAACTTAGAACTGGGCTGTTGGAAGACTGGGTTAGAGTCTTCTGGTTCTTGTTCTGCTTTTAACTCGCTAGGTGTCCTTGAGCAAATGATTTCTCCACTCCAGGCCTCATTTTCTTCATATATAAAATGAAAGGAGTGAATTTGATCAGTTCCTCAAAATTTTTACCATAAAGGAACATCATTTTATTATATTTCCTCCCAAACTCCATTATCAAACTCTAGTTTAAGTGATCATATATTGTGATCCTTTTGTTGGCAAGGATAGAATTTTATTATTTTTGAAATGCTGGAAAATGTTGGAATTTCTGGGTCACTCCCCTTTGTGACACAGCTGGTGACTGTAGATCTTGAAGGCCTCCTCCAGAACTGAAAGTATGAATCCGGGACTCTCAAGCCCTCAAGGTTTTGTTATTGAAAGAGACTTTTAGAGAGTCTCTAGACCAGACATCTCATTTTACACATGAGGATACTGAGGCTAGAGAAGCAAAGGAAAGCATAGGTTCCCAGATCATGCCTGGAATTGGGAACTGCACTAGGACAGCAGCCAGGTAGGTCTCCCTGCCCATTGCATGCTCCACTGCACCCTGCTGTCCTCGCTATTTGGTTTTTAAACTTGCTTTGACTGTCAAGACCAACCCCTTGGACTTTTCTTGCCCTCTCTGATTCTCTCCATCACTCCATCTGACCTTTAAGTCCTGCCTGCCCACCTTGGCTGGCCTGGATTCCTTTTCTGCCCCTGGATACCTGCCTGAGCTCCCAAGATTCTCCAGCATCGCCGGCGAGCTCATGCCAGCTCTGCCTAACAACCTCTGTCCTGCTGCAGCCCACGCCCTGGCATGGCACCAAGGCATGTGGGGCCTTATCTTTCCAGCATGTGGGAGAGTTACACAGACACCACAGCGATGCCAGGAAGGCCCACGGCAAAATCCCAGAGTCCTGGGACAACAAGACTAAAATGGCAGCCAGTTTCCAGGCACTAGTTAGGTCCCTGGGAGCTCACCCTACCCTCCTCCACTTTATCTCCAGCAGTCCCTATCTGCTCAAGGTGCTTAGCTTGGCATCTAACCCCTGCCTCCTTGGAAACTTAGCACAAGCACACAGTTACCAATTAAACAAATGTAATATCTGATAAGGGTTATTTCCTGTATGCATAGACAAAAGAATGGATTTAGGAGCTAGGGGTGGTGTTGGCAATGAATAGGAAGATAATGTTCATTATCACCACTTCTTCAGTGAATCGGGAAAGACTTCTTGGAAGAAATGAGATTTCAGGATCAGTCTGAGTTTAATATGTTATCCTTAGCCCTCCTGGAAATAAATGCTTTAATTCAACTCTTGTGCCTTTGTCTCTAAAAAACCCAGATGGAGTGCTAGGATTTTTAGATAAATTTGCAGCAATATGGGATGGTGGCATTCTTGCTTTCTCTGGAATGCTACCTTCACTGATAGGGCTACTTCTGCTTCCAAAATCCCAGGGCACAGCCTGCCCTGACCAATTTATAATAGCAGATGTGCTCAGAGACACAGTAATGCAAGGTAGAGCCTTAACAACCCCACTGAGGTCTCCCCTCATACCAAGAGCAGTCACAATAAAGAAATATAGAAAATATGAACAAAAGTCATCATCTCAGAGGGACCCTCCCTTCACAGTCACCAAATTTGTTCACTCCCATTAACAAGCAGAGAACAATATATAAAATGCCATTAGTGTGGCAGCTGCTTAATGAAAATGAAGGGAGAGCTTGGTGTCTGGCCAGGGAGCCTTGCTGTTCTCATGTGATGCCAAAGGCAATGTGCTGGGATTGTGAATGGGTGAGAATGTGAACCTTCACCAGATCCCAGATCCCAGGAAGGGCAAGGCCCTAGGCATAGGCTCACTGATCCTCCCACCCTGGCTTCTGGCATAGTTTTGGAACATGAAGGAGGGGGCTATTTTCTTTAAGAGATCCTAAATACTAGGGGACTATAACAACAAGGCTGGCAAACTGGTGGCAGGTGCTTTACAAAGAAACCAGGCACAGAGAGGTTTACTTAGAAGAAAATAACTAGCAATAGCAGAATCATTCTGTGTGGCCATGAGGGAGCCAAATTCTAGCAGGTATTGAAAGGGTTGGGAAGGAAAGAGCTAGGGCTTATGTGCAGTAGGGAAGGTTGTGTGACTAGGGGGGAAGAGGGGGTCCTAGAAAAGAAACTTGGTGAAGGCCTCAAATATGCTCTTCTGTGATTAGTAACACATTCAAATCATACAACTCTTTTAGCTTGTTTCTGCAAAACTCTAGGATTCTTAGATGTCTCAGGCCAGAGGCATCTGAATGAGTGATGATCAGGAACCCAACCCTCCCTCCTCAACCACAGCATCTCCCACTGACTCCTCACTCATTGGTCTTTCTCTTACACTGTCAGATCTCCCTGGTTTCCAAGGGAATGGGAAAACTGTGAGTTCGGGTGTGAGGAAGAGATCAAAAGCAAAGGTGATGGGTCCATCTGGTTAAAAAACACCCTCTCTGGGGCTCCTGGGTGGCTCAGTCGTTAAGCGTCTGCCTTCGGCTCAGGTCATGATCGGTCCTGGGATCGAGCCCTACATCGGGCTACCTGTTCAGTGGGGAGCCTGCTTCTCCCCTGCCTGCTGCTCCCCCTGCTTGTGCTCTCTCTCTCTGTATCAAATAAATAAATAAAATCTTAAAAAAAAAACCACCCCCTCCAACTCCCTGGGTGGTAAAGAGGCTTGGGGTCTGAGAACTTCAGAGTGACCCTTGGCAAGCCAGGGTGATAGTTGAAGTGATTTTTGAAAAACAAGAGGAAGAGGATGTGATTGGGAGCAGGTGTTTCCTTCTAAGAGGGCAGCCTGGAGCAGCAGTTATAGGAGCTGGGTCCCCACTGGCCTCAGGCCTTTCCAAAGAACATTCAGAGGCAAGAAACAGGTATTTTTATTCTTGTATCTTATATGGCTGAGGGCACAGCTTGCAGACTTATAAGGACTTCTTTACAGAATCTTTGTGTGACTTTGTTGTGAGGCCAAAAGTCTACTCTACATCAAAGGCAGCCCAGCCCTTAATGATAATGTTTTATTGTGAGAGCCCACCCTAACCCATGTCTCATCTGAAACTCCTCTCACATCCTCTCAGCTGTGCCTAGTGCATCTTGATTACCAGTGGTCCCTCCTGGGGGACTGGGAGATACAGGACCTGGATCCTACCCTTTTACCTGGGAGGAAGGGGGCCTCACTCACCACCCATGGCTTGTCACAGAAGTTGTAAATGGATTCCAGTGAGTTGATGCTGGGGAGGCCTGCGTACTGCATGCCAATGACAAGGTGGCGGAAGTCCTCATTCTCTGCCATGCCGAATGCATGCTGCCGGATAAGCACAAAGTCTGGCCGGAAGGACCTGGTAAAAATGTAGAGGCAAGTTTCCCATCAACCAGCCCCTCAGGTCATATATCATCTTGTCTCCTATTTCCAAAGCCCTAGACAGAGAAGGGGTATTAAGGGTCACCTGATGTAAGCCCTTCATTTTATTATTCTTTTATGGACTAGGAAGTGAGGTATTATGGCACCTCTTAAAGGAGATTTAAGGAACAGATGTCTGAAGTTCCCTTATTCCTCTGGATTAAGCACTGTCTTTTTCTAAGGTACAAATCCCCTCAGGAGGGAAGAAACACTTTCAGACCCTCACATCTTAAATGAACAAGAATTTACCTGGTCCCTTTGGGGCAATAAGAGAGCAGAAGCTCCTTGTGGCTTCAGAGTTTGTGCTCGAAGAGCGCCCCAGTAGACTTTGAAGATATATTTGCCTGACTTCACCACCCTGCCACGGAGATCCCTGATCTCAGTGTCCTGTTCTGACTCCTTAAAACTGCTCCTTAAAAAGCAATGCCCTCATCAGGCCCCGAGAAGAGCAAGGGTCCAGGATGGCTGAGAACAGATGCCAAACTTCCCAATGTTATTCTTCCAAAGTGTACACTAGGGAGGGGTGCAAATATTTCTCGAAGAACTGAGGTTGAGCAATGGCTACAGGAAGCACTGGGAGTACAGAATGTTCCCATGCATGGGAAGGCTCCCTGCGTTTTCCCTCCAGCCAGCAAAGCTCCTCAGCTGCTCTATCTTCATGCCCTGACTCCAAGGGAACCCCACCTTCCCGAGAGTCAGTTCTGTAGCAGCATTCTCCCTCAAGGCTCTGGAGCTTGCCAGTTTCACACCATATGCAATGACCCATGAGGTTCTCTGCCCAGGCACCCATTCAACCCCTACCTACAGCTCCAGTACCACCTGGGCTCAGAGATCAGTCTTTTAAAGTGAGGGTGGAAGAAGCCCTCCTCAGTCACTAAAGGAATGTAGCATCAAGTCAGTGTGGCTGTGCTGGAGCTGTTCTGATCTCCTTGTGCCCCAGTTCTGGGAAACTGGCCCCAGGTGTATGCTTGATTTTCCTCTGAAAACTGTATGCCAGTTATAGGAACTAAGCCCTAGATTTCCTACACTGGCCAGCTCTTAAGTTCCTACACATGTACCTGGAAAGGCCTGCCTTAGTTTTGCCAGATCCCTCCTGGCACCCTTCTATGACCTTTCTGTCACCACCTACTTGTGTCCATGCATCCTTATGACTCACTCTACCTGCAGTTGGAGGGGCCCATCATTCTCTCTTGAGCTCGCTCCCCACTTGGATGGACATCTGTTTTTCTGTCCTCCTCATCTCTAGGATGGAGGAGTTTACATTTCCTCTTGTTAGGTTCCAGACACCTGAGTTTTGCCTTCCCTGTCACTGAGCCAGTTCCTATTGGACATCAGAGACCTCAGTGTCAGGATGCTGTAGATTGAGGTAGGGAAGAGGATGAAGTGAAAATTCTTCCTGGCGCAAGATTCTGTATCTGAAAACCTGACACCATGCTGAGCTCCTGGGAAAAATGACACTGTGGAAACTTTTTCCCCATCTGGAATTCTTGTTACTTCCCTCACAGAATTATTTTATTAAATTTGATCACATCTGTAAGTTACCCAGCACACTACCTGGCCTGTGAGTGCCCTGTACCTGCAAATTTTCTTCCATCCACAATGTCCCTTCCAACCTAGACTTTCCTGACTTACGAATTCCCAGGACTGAGGAACATAGAAAGAGTACAGGGCTGGGAGTTAAGAGAATTCACATAGAAACACAAGGGTCTGCTACTAACTCACTGAGTGAATCTAAGCAAATCAACGTAAAGTAGGAGGTTGAACTAGATCAGAGGTTTTCAAACTTTTTTTCTTTTTAAAGCAATGGAATCCTGTTTTCCAGGGAAAATACATACAGAGATAAAAGCACAAAAATCACACTGGTGGAAGTGGGGCTGGAATCCTAGAACCCCTCTGGTAGGAATCTGGTCACCTCTAAATGAGTCCTGCACCCTTTCTCTACCATTGGACTAAGAGCTCCCTGAGAGCGGGAGCTGGTTTTCTCTGCCTTCTTCTGCCACTTCTACGTCTACACAGCATACATCATTAACTCCTGTACTATATATATGGCACTGCCATTCCACTCTGACACTTGACTTTGAAACCACCTATGCAAACCAGAGACAGTAACTCTGAAGACAGTGACAGTGACCCTGAGGATAGAAGGGACCTTACCGGACAACCTTTGTGCCATTCCGGAGCACCTGCATATCCACAGCATAGGTCCCATCTGCATGGGCCACCAGGTTGAGCTCTGAAAATGCCGCCTGGAAAATAACAGTAGGGGATTAAGAGGGTAGATTTCATGTTATGTGTTTTTTTTGTTTACTACAATTAAAATTGTAAAAAAAAATTAAAAATAAATAAAAATAACTGTAGGGAAATAAGCCCACAGTCCTGGCTTTGCCAAGTTCTCCACAGAACAGCAGCAGCCCTCCCACCAAATATTTATTCAGTTTTCTAAGCATTTTCAAAAACTGATTTCATCTCACTTTCATAGCAACTCTGTGAGGGAGGAAGGACAGAGATAATTCTCCCTGTTTACCAAAGAAGCAGTTAAGTGACTTTCTGGACAAAATTTATTGTTGGCAGAGACAAGAGCAAAGCTCAGGTCTTCTGACAACTCTGTGCTGCCTTTCTATAGAGAGGGAATGCACACTGGGGCAACATGCCCTCTGTCAGTCTCAACATAAAAACACTAGATTTTAGTTTAGGCAACTGGGTGTTACTTCTGCTCTGCCCCCAGTTAGCTCCATGGACTTTAGGCAAATCACTTGTCCTCCTGGGGGTGGGGTAAGGGGAGGAAGAGTTTCTTTCATCTATAAAATGGGAATAATTTTTAATCAACCTTGCCTATACAACAAGTTGTTTTAAGGACTGAATACAATGAGTAGGAAAATGCTCTATAAATCACAGCACACCGTGTAAAGAGTGATGAGTAACTTCTATTATTACACAGAAAGTACCTGCATTGTTTAAACTGGACATCCCCCTCTCCACACAAATGGACTTAATTTCTATTTATCAGGAAGCAAAGGGTAGAGGAAGATTTAAAAAAAAGGGGAGGGGGGCTTTCAGGACTTCACTACATTAAAAGAAGTAGGGGTGTGTGTGTGTGTGTTTTAATTCTCTCTGAAGTGTAGCTTCTTGCCCAGAGTAGGCAGCATTGGAGGCTGTAAAACTGAATGGCAGATATGTGCCAACCCAGGAATATCATGCCATCAACAACATGGAGTTGTGGCCAGTGTCCCAGGAAGACATTCCCCTAAGGTTTTCCTCAGCCTGAGAAAGCAGAAGAGAGCCCTAAGAACCACATTCCTCACTACTTTACAGACACCAGCACCATGAAAAGAAGCCAGGGAAGTTAAAAAGCAGCCTTCATGGCCATATCTCATAGAGAGAAAAGCCTCAGGGAACAGGGTGAGGGAGAGTAGATGGAGGGCCTGGAATCCAGTGACAAACACTGTACTCCACTCTGAAGACTAGATGATTCACTCTGGGATGTCAAGAGAGAACAGTGATGATGCAGATGTAACTCTGGGCTTTTGGGTAATTACCTGTTCCACTTTGATGTCATAATCTCCAAGGACTTTTTTACCCCGGAAGCACTTGGCCCTGGAAAAGGAAAACAAAAACAAAACCAAAACCAAAATCAAACCAAACAAAAAACACGCAAATTAGTTTTGTACAAGTGTTTGAGATCAGAAATTTACTATCATAAAGAAGAAGACTACAGCAGGCAGACCCCAGAATGAGAGTCAAGAGACCTGGGATAGGGTTGGACCCTAATTCAACCTAGATCATCATGAGAGATCCTCAAGCAAAGCACTTCCTCTCTTTTACGCTCAGTTTACCCATCCATAAAATAATCCAACGCACTTTTTCACTCCCAGGTTTTGGGATTTTATAGTATCCTTTGTCTTTGGGCTACAAAAGAAGTTTAGAAGTAGGAATTTCCCTAATGTGATTCCTGGTAAAGACCAGGTCAGTACCACACATCTCTATACTTTCCTTATCTTCCCCCATCACTCTGATTTTCTAGTTGGGTTCTACCCTTGGAATTTTAGTTTTCAAAGAAACTGTTATCATTTTACCTCTTCATACCTATACTTCCAAAAAGGATTTGAGGCAATTAATAATTTAAAAGGCAAATATAACCAACAAAGTAAGGATTAAAGGACAATCAGTGAATGACAGAGCAGAAAAGAAATTTTAAAAGGTAGGAGGCTGAGAAAAGTTACTATAATTGAACACAAAACCTATTCTGTATTTCTGAATTTCAGTCAAGAAAACTAGTCAGGCTTAGTTATACAGTACTTACTATCTTCCTATCTTGTCACGGATCTAAAGGAACCTCACATTAATGCATCAAGGACTTCAGAGCACCTTGTAAGTAGTCTGTGTTTATGTTTACATTGATATCCATTTCTACTTTGCCCTTAATCTCCCCCTCTCCACCCCCCAAAAGATTTTCTTACCCATCCGCTTAGGCTAATTCTCCACATGTATAAAAGGCCTTTCTACGCTATACCTGTTAGTGAGGTTGGTCTTTCCCAGTGCTTGAAATTTCAAATTAGCATATTTCACTGGAGGTTTCTAAAAGTCCCTCTCCAAAATAAAGGGATAAACTAACATTTATTGGGCATAATGTTCTAAGAATTGTGTGCAAGTTGCTTTCAAGAACATCTCATTTAATCCTAATAACAATTTATGATATAGGGAGAAAGTTCTTCATTTTTGAGATGAGGAAACCAAGACTCAGAAGGGAAAAATAGTGTATTCAAGGTCACATGGCAAGTTAGTGACAGAGCCAGTATTCACACCCAAGTCTGAGTCCAGTGCTCCTGGGGCTGTATAGTCATCTCCCTCTGCTGATTCATTCCCTTCATCTTCACTCCCACCATTACAAAAACTGACTGGTCACGTGTGCTGCATTGCATGTTTTTTTCCCCATTTTCCTTCTTCCGCTCAAAAGGGACTTGATGTTGTGAGCACTAGTTCTACTACAAATACTTCCTACCCTGGTTCCTGTGAACTACCCAGGACAAGGCCAAGCTATTTCCTTTCCTCTCTGCTGGAACAGTCCGTTCTAGGAAGTTGTCATTTGTCCTATCCAAGTCCCTGGCCACCCTCAAATTGTTCCTCAGAGGCAGTCAGCCATCCTGGAGCTGGATCACTGAAGCCTATCACCCAACCTTTGCCCCAATAACTCACTAAGCTTCATCAGCTTGCTTCCAGGACCCTGTTCAACATTTGTAGCTCAGCAACCATCTCCAGCAAGGGGCCTGTACCTTATCCTGTCCCTTTGGCTACTATTCTAACTTATTTATGGACTTAAATGATAATCTACACATGGCACTATCACTGCTCTGTAGATCTTAGACTCCGTAGGCCTTTGTTCAGGACTAGAAAAAGGAGAAATGGAGTAAATGACCCTGGAGGTTCCTTTCTTGTATTGACAAGGTGTGTCTACCTTATTACCCGCAATTGTCTTCCTGATGCTTCCTCCTATCTTCCTGTCTCAAAATAGCTCCTGTTCTGTGAGGTAAGTCTCAGAGACATTAACAATAACCTCTCATTCTGTATGATACCTTGCACTTTCAAAGCACATTCCTTGCCTTATTTGTTCCTTACAACTTAGTGAAGCAGCCAAGGCAGATAACACTGTTCATTGGACTGATGGAGAAATTGAAACCCAGAGCAGTGAAATAATATGCCCAAACCACAGAAAAGTTCATAGGAGCTAAGCTTAGAACTAAGAGTTTACATCTAGGTGCTTATGTGTTGCCAAGTATTTTAATTCACTCACTTATTTTGTGAGTTTACAATACTGATATTGAAGTGTATTTATAGATTCTGGCTGGGTTTATCTGCCATTTCCTGCACCTGCCCATTGACAAAGTTGGCTAATGATACTGTTTTCATGCCTTCTCCCCGCCCCCACCTCTCCAATGACCTTAATGCCTTTTCCTTAAGGTAATTTGTCCTGTTGAAAATCTTAGTCTGTGTTTCCTGACTCCAGGTCACTGACCTCTGTTGGCTGAGCACAATCTTTTGGAAAAGGACCTAAGATGGCAGACAGATGGGGCACAGAGCCTTCTTCTGGACAATGAGCACATTTTCCTAGCTCTAGCCCTTGGAAATTTAGGTTCCAGGTATTTTCATGAAAAATTTTGTGACTTATAAGCAAGTGACAGAAGTACCTCCTCATACTAAGAGAGCACTGTTAGGAGCACGTGTTAGAATCCAGGGGAGTTGTGAATCACAGGGCTCTGAAATTATAGTCTGGGTGGGAATCCTAGATGTACCCTTTCCTGGCTCTGTGACCTTAGGCAAGGGGCTTAAATTAAAAAAAAAAAAAAAAAAAGTATGTCATATGGTGAAATCAATCAATCTACCTTCAAAAGTACATAAAAGAATAAGATAAAAAATAAGTTTCTCCTTTCTCATTTCTTTTTCATCACACATAATCCCCACAATCAGTTGCAAGCATATTCTTCCAGTGTGGGGAAAATGTCTGCACACATATATGCTTCAAACATACATGTAGCATCATGCTATGTAAACTCTTCTTTTTTGAACCTTGATTTTTATTGCACTCAAAAATACATCTTAGTGATATGCTTCCAGCACATACTGATGGACTTCTTTCTTTTTAATAGTTGCATGAAATTCCATTTGAAGATCATACAGTAGTTTCACCAATATATATTGGTGAGCATTTAGATTTCCAGTTTGGGGGTTGTTTTTGCCATTATAAACAGTGCTATAATGGCTAATAGTTAAGAATATATCCATAGCAGGGGATCCTGGGTGGCGCAGTCAGTTAAGCATCTGACTCTTGGTTTCAGCTCAGGGCATGATTTTGGGGTCCTGAGATCGAGCCCTACATTGGGCTCCACGCTGAATGTAGAGTCTGCTTTCTCTCTCCCTCTGCCCCTCCCTCTCTTCTCTAAAACAAATAAATAAATCTTAAAAATATATATATCCAGGGGCATCTGAGTGGCTCAGTTGGTTAAGCATCTGCCTTCCGCTCAGGTGATGAGGTCCTGGGATGGAGCCCCACATCGGGCCCCTGCTCAGTGGGGATCTTTCTTCTCCCTCTCCCTCTGCTGTTCCCCCTGCTTGTGCTCTCTCTCTCTTTCAAATAAATAAATAAAATTTTTAAATATATATATCCATAAATATATATATCCACAGAATATATATATATATATATATCTCCATAGAAAAAAAGAATACATCCATAGGATAAACAACTTATTTTTTCCAACTGTACTGAGATATAATTGACAAATAAAATTGTATATATTTAAAGTGTGCATCATGATGACTTAATATACCTATACTTTGTGAAATGGGATTACCACACTCAGGTTAATTAACACATCTATCACCTTGCATAGTTACCATTTTATGTGTGTGTGGTGAGAACACGCAAGATCTACTCTCTTAGAAAATTTCAAGTATACAATACAGTATTATTAACTATAGTCACCATGTTGTACATTAGAAGGATAAACAATTTATTGCAGAATTGCTGGTGCAAGGAACAGACACAGTTGCAGTTTTTACTGATATTGCCACACTGCCCACCCCCCATAAGGAAAATATACCACTCTTCTTAGTGTTTGAAAGTTTGGGAAAGTTATTTCACCTCCCTTAGTTCCCTTCTCCTTCCTCTAACCCCCACAGTTCCTTGCATAAACTGGGCACAGAGAAGAACTTTCTGACTGGCGGTCTTGTCAAATCAGCCCAAATTCACCTCCTTTGCTCAATCCTAAACAGAACCCAAGATGTACATCCTTGAAGCACAGACTAAAAATATCTATGGTGCCTGTGTTGTCAATTTCCCCCTATTGTAACATTTTCTTAATAAGCCTAGCAGCTGAGGATCTATGTGAGTTTAATGGCTTGCAGCTTCCTTGATGGGCCAGGCAATGAACCACCTCACCTTATTGCTAAAATGAGTAGAGGCTTCTAGATTTAACTCTTCTTACTCAAGGCAATGAATACGCTCACCAATTCCTATCCAACCAGGGCTTGTGAGGCTGAGGAGCATGATTTCAGACACTTCTCTGCTAAGGCTGCCTCAAAACTTGGCCCAACTTAGGCAAGCCCAACTTAAATTCTCCCTGTTTTATGCATGGGATAATGGAGAAAGGTCTAGAAATAGGAGCCAGTGGAGTGAGGTTCAGGCATAGTTCTACCACTTTTTAACTGTGTAACTTTGGGCAAGTAGTTGCCTCTCTGAGCCTTAGTTTCCTCATGTATAAAATAGGGTTAATAATAATTGTAATACTAATAGCAAGCATTCATTATGTACTAGCCACTATTCTAAGTATTTTATGTATTTTACCTCATTTATTAATACCTTACTCACAGGTTGTTGTGAAGACTTAATGAAGCCAGATGAGACTAACTGACATGAAAGTGTTCCGGAAACTCTGAAATGCTATGCAAATATGAAGTACTATTAGCAAAATGCAATAGTACTTGTGTGTGTGGTGAGAACTGGGAGAACTGAGAACCCACTGGCACTGGTCTGGATACTTATCTTTAACATGGTGCTTAGCTTCTGGCACTCACTGTCTCACTGGCCTTGTTCCTTCAGT